ACGACTGGCTGTATTTCTGAGTTGGGGATGAGAACCCATAAGGTCCTTCGACACATACCTTGATGGTTGCAGTCTGAGAAGGCATGGAAACCAAGCGCTTGTACAAGCTCAGGGTGACACCACCTTTGACCTTGATGGCAAAACTGAGCTCATTTTCGTTGGAGGAAATTGCGGTAAATGGATGAGATTGCCAGAAACAAGCTGGCATCATGAAAGAAACAAATGCATACTGACCAGGCTGAGAGTTCCAGTATTTTGGCTTTGGCACCGTCACCTTCAAGGTTTCACCGGCGACTAACGTGACGCTCGCCTCCTTTATACCAAAGCTAAACATGCGAATCAATCTGATAACCCTATCCAATCCCCAAAGGCCAACAACTGACCAGGTGTAGCCTTGCCAGAAGAAAGGACCAATGTGGGTATGAACACCAATCAAAACAAACACAGCAAAGATGATATGAATAATTAAGAAGGTTTCGTAAGACTTTCTTCTCAACACAAGCATGCCTTGAATCATCATGAACCCCATCAAGATTGTTGCAACAGTACCCCAAATTACGTATGGCTTCTTCATTCTACCAGCATACTTATCAGGGGAAATACCAAAGGCAGATATGGTAATGGCAATGCCATGAACGGTAGACATGACAAAGAACATTCTTGAAAGATTCCTATGGTAGATGTTGAATCTGGAAAAGTTCCATCTGGTGATGTAGATCAAGAAGTTGTTTCTACCAGCAAACAAGATAAGCAATGGATATGTGAAGAGAGCAAGGACACCTGACCTGTCAGCCACGAGTCTACCGATCTCACCCATTGGGTGCTTCCAAATAGTATTTCCCTCCACATGGTGATGGCCAACACAGTTGGCCAAAATCATGTATGTCCAAAGTAAAAAGACAATAATGGATTCCATTCTGGTGGGAATGAGCGCCACCGGAACACCGAGAAACTTTAACGGCACATTTCTGTCCTTCTTGAAGGCCGCAGTGAGGGTGACGTACTTTCTAAACCACTTGGAGGAGGTGCCATTGAACTTTTGGG